GAGAGGAAGGGAGAGAGATAGAGAGTTAGAAACATCGATCAGCTGCCTCCTGCACACCTCCCACTGGGGATGTGCCGACAACCAAGGTACATGTCCTTGACTGGAGTCGAACCCGGGACCTTTCAGTCCGCAGGCTGATGCTCTATCCACTGAGCCAAACTGGTTAGGGCTCAGCCTCTGTGGTTTTAAACAGAGGACCCAACTAAAATGTGCCAGATTCCTTATCTATAAAAACTATGAAATAACATATTTGTGTGGTTTTAGGCCACTACATTTGTAGTCATTTATTACACAGCAATAGAAAACTGATACAGTCTCATAAAGTGGAATGTATGCATGCCCCTTGACTCAACATTTCTATTCTTAGAAATGTTCCCAACAGAAAGCCAAGCATGGTTTCACCAAAATACCTATACCACAATATCCACAGAGGAAATATTTATAATAGCCTAAAACTAAAAACTACCCAAGTGAGCAAGAGGGGCACTTATGGGATGCCTATAGCATTTAATTTCTTGATTTGGGTGCTGGTTACACATGAGCACCCAGTTGGTGAAAAGCTGTGGTCTTTCCTAAAATAGATTATACTTCAATAAAATTAAAATAACCAAAATTTTATTATTTCATTACCCAAGAACACAGGTATTATTAGATAGAAAATTTTTTAAACGTTCATACATATAAAAGTACTCACATGATTTTACTCATGTAATCATCCCAGCCTCAGTTCTACAAGCATAAAACACAAAACAGCCTGGCTAGTGTGGCTCAGTGGTTGAGCATCGACCTATGAATCAGGAGGTCATGGTTTGATTCCCAGTCAGGGCACATGCCTGGGTTGCAAGCTCGATTTCCAGTGTGGAGCGTGCAGGAGGCAGCCGATCAATGATTCTCTCTCATCATTGATGTTTCTCTCTCTCCCTTTCCCTTCCTCTCTGAAATCAATAAAAATATGTTTTAAAAACACAAAACATATCATAGCAAAGCAAAAATAGCTAATTGTAACTGTTTGGATTTTTATCCTAATTGTTACTTGATTTTTGGTGAACTTACAACATATTGCTTTAATAAATATTTTTCCCTAAGGGAATTAAATTTAATAGTGTAGTGAGAATTTTAAGACAATCTTTGGAATAACACCTTTGTTATTATTATAAATTCATTCACTCTAGACATATGCATCTTCTCTGATGAACATACATATTTGGGCGAGGCCACGATAAAATAAAAATCTTTAGTCCAATCAAACCTTTTAGAGGGTAAAGTTAAAGGCATTTTTATTTCATTTTAGAGAGGAAATATAATGCTTGCTCATGGTTTTGTAAGAGTCTTGCAAAATATTCAACAATATTCACTGAATACCTCGTATACAGGCCACTGTGCTAAATATAAAAATATAAAAAGACATTGTATATTGTTTCTCCTCTTGGAAGATGTATGATATACCTAAAGAAATACATACTCATTCACATTAGTTAATGACAAAGGTTTGTACAGGATGGGGCAAAAGTAGTTGTGAGTACACAAAACACATTACTTTATTATTTTCCATATGAATAGCTGTAAACCTAGTTTTGCCCCGCTCTGTATGTTAATGCTAAATATGTATTAGATAAATAAAGAAGTAAAGAGAAAAAAATAACAAAAATAACAGGACTCTAAAGGTAGTACCCCAAAGGCAGAGCCCTTGGCAGTCAGGAAAGGCTTCCTGAAGGCAGCATCATAGGAAAACAAAATTATTTTTGGTAGAGAAAACTTGGTTTTAAATCTGGCTTTTATTTTCTCACTTTTCAGATATGAGCAGTTATTTAACTTCCTGAAACTTGAAGTTTTTCATCTGAGAATTAGTGCTGATACCAATAATTTCTACTTCAGAGGTTTGTGAGGTTAAGTGATGTAAGTTAGTAAAATAGCTGGTTCCTCTAGTCTGCACAGCTGGCCTTTCTTTGGATGAAAAAATAATTACTGAGAATCTTTGCTGTCTGACCCTGAGTCTCCGAGAAGTTGGGGTAGTGGGAGTTGGGAAGTATACTAAGTGTTAGAGAGAGAAAAGAGAATGAGGTTTGGGGGTTTTTAAATAAAAAGCGAATAACAAATGACAAAAGTACAGTTCAGCAGGATGAAAACAAGACAGCACAGTGTTTAGGGAACCTAGAGTAATAAATACAACTAAGGAAGTTTCCGTACAGGCTGGCAAGCCCAATAATATACTGACAATGGCGACAAAACCAGAAATACAGAAGCTATCCCTGAATATTTACCTTTCAAGCAGAAAGGCAATACTTACAACCATTTTCACTCACACATGTGAAATGTCTAGAGGAGAAGTGATAGCTGTCTTAGCTTATGTCATAGAGGCTTTGCTTTTTGTCCCACAGGAATTTGGGGAAGGGAAAACTCAGTGTAATCCGTAGCATCAGGTCAGGGAAGGTCTGGAACTCAGTCTCAAAGGATGAGTGGGACATGGATCCAAGGGGGGGGGTGGTGAGGGGGGAAAAGAGTTTATTCTAGACAGGTGTAGCATCCTGCAAAGATTCATCAGACAGAAGTATCTTTTACTTAAATATGAATCAGAGCAAAAATAATTTGGATAAGCAATCCTACTTCTGAGCAGTTAGGAAGCGGTAAGGAAAGAAATGGCAAGGCAAAAGCCCATTTCTCCTAGATAGCAATTGCAGGTTTGAGGCTGTGCCGAAAAACCAGTGGGCTCCTCTCCAAGAAAGAATGGGGGAGAAAGAGACTTAGGTATCTGATTTCACCCAAAGAATGAGTTCCCTGAGATGTTAAGGTAAGTGTATTGACGTGATCCAGACTCATTTATGTTGCGATTGTCTCTACACCTTCTTGCTCAAATTCCATCATCAAAACTGTAATCCCTCATGAAGTTGTTTGCCTCTATACAGGAAAAGTAATCCTCTTGGACAATTAATAAGTTAACATTATTAATGTCAGCTGCACGTAGATTTGATTAAGTTTCTAAGATCAGATCCCAGGGGCATGTTTTCAAAAGAGGAGATAGCAATGCCCGCTTACTCTATGAAATGGTGCAGGGTGGGGGGAGAGAGCAAGGCTATTTCTGCATCAGCTGCAGTCCTTTACACTCAACAACTAAAGAGCCCCATGCCACAATCCTTTTCAGCGTACCCCGAAGCCCACATACCCGCAGAGCCCTGAGCTTGGTTTGGTATGAACTAGGTTTAAAGAGCACGAGTTCACCTCTGAAAGCTCTGGGTTTAAATCCATGGTTGTTTTTTTTTTTTATCTCGGGCCTTCTTTAGTCCATTTCCTTATCAGTACCATAGGCTCCATAATAATAGTAGTTTCCTAAGAGTGGTTGAGAATAGCAAATAAGGATGTAAAGACTCCGGCACATAAAGGTGCCCTATAACTGTCAGCTAATAATAATGACTGATGTATGTATGGCGCCTGGGTCCTGTATCTTGCCAAGTTTGGTCAGGAAGGTGGGAAGGAAGGAGAGGGTCTGCTTGCTTATTTTGCTGGCACCACTCTTGAAACTGCCCACAGGCCCTGGGCCAGAACCTCAGCGGGCGGACCGCTCGCTCCGCTGGGCTGTCTCGCCCCTGCTCCTCCCACGCTTCCCCGGAGCAACAAGTTCCCTCTGCAAGACCCGCCCACGCGCTGCTGGCGGACCAGGCGCCTCCGCCCAGACCTCTGGCAAACGCGCTGTCCTACCCACCTTGGGTCCCAATCGCGGCTGCCAACGCCCCAGGGAGGCGGGGGAGCCCGCAGCAAGTGCGGGAGCCCTCAGGAGGCTGGGAGGAAGGCGGGAGGCGTGGAAAGTCGGGGCTGAGGGACCGCCAGGAGTTCCAGTTCGCGCTGCCCTTGAGAGGCAAAGGCAGCGACGGAGAGCTTCCACCCTGCTCCTCTCAAGCCTCTTTCCTGGGATCAGGGGCAAGGAGATGGGGCCCTGACAGATTCCCACAGATTTCCACCAGGCTCTCTGGTTGCCAAATCGCATCCTACGTCCTCCACGTTTCCCCTCGCCCCGGTTTCTCCCGGCACGCTCACTTTACCCCACCTCGTGTCAGGTTCCTTAAGGACACGTGAGATCCCTGCCTGGACATTTCGCAGGAAGAGTGAGTAGGTCCCCACCTAGCGCTCTCCTCCCCCTCGCCCTCCCAGAATGGGAACCTCGGACTCTCCACAGGAGTCCCCAGGCATTCCAGACAGGAAGCCTCCTCCTGGTGCCCAAACGGTTGCACTCTGCCAACTTCTTGGAGTGGGGATCCCCGCGTCCTCCTGGGAAAGCCACGCTGGCCGCCCACACACCAGGAGAGCCACCTGCACTTCTCCGCGGAGCACTCCTCCTCAGAATCTATCTTTCTAGCTCCTGCAGCTCTGCCTCGTGAACTTGAGAGCTAACAAGGAGTCTGGGGTGGGCTGGGGCGAGCTCGAGAAGTTCCGCCCAAATTTTGGAAAGAAAAACCAGTTCAGGTTTCCAAGTCTCCTGGAGCCGGGGAGCTGCTTTCCCTGGGAAAGAGCAGGGGCCGAAGTCACCGGGAGGGAAGTCCTCCTGGCGCGGGGTCTGAAAAGCACGGAGAGAAATCGCAATGCCCAAGCTTCTAGCCCTGTCTGTCAGAAACTACTCTTTCTCTGGGGATGGGAGCGGGGAATAGATACGTCCCTAGCAAGGCAGCCAACGCCAAGCCCAGATGTTCAGCACCTCAGCCCTCCATCCCCAAGCAGCCTTGAGAACTTGGTACCTCGGACAGCAGCCCGGGCGCAGGGCATTGTTTGCAAGGTGTTCTCCTATTTTCGCCCAAAGAACAATACATTGTTTTTATGACCTTACTGGTACACTTGAAGGACGTTTTAATTACATAACATGGGATAGATCACTGGAGGCAATATCGTGTTAAAGAGCCGATGGCAGAATGTCTGCATCGCAGGAGAGAGAAAACTTGCGAATTCTGCAATGAGATTGCGCAGGACTGTGCCCCCGTTTTGAAACAACAAGCGAAATGCAAGGGAGATCTTACCTTTCGGACTCCAAAGCCGTGTTCTGCTGCAACTTGGCGAGCTTCTTCCTCTCCTCCTTTATGCAACTCCACAAGAAAATTATTCGTGAAGACCGGTCTCTTGGCCGACGCAAAAACCATGACACAGAAGAGAAGCCCGGCGGCCGCCTTCCACTGGGAGGCACAGCCACCTTTCATCTTTCTTTGGGAGTGAAAAGTGGTGCTAGGAGGCGCGCAGGCTGGCGGAGCAGGGGACCCAGAAGAAAGGTGCAAATAAGAAATATATATAGATGTAGTTTGTTTGTTTGTTTGTTTTTTAAAGGAATCTTTGTGTAGAAAAAGAGACTGATTAGGGGCTTGGAAAGCCGCAAATTAATGTGTGATCTCTAGCATCTGGCTGGCAGGGAAGCTGTGTAGTCAGGCGGCCCGACTCGCTGGCAGAGGTGCGAATGTGAGGAGCTGTGTGTATCTGAGAGAAAGAGCGAGTGTATGTCTGTGCTTGATGCTAAATCTGCATTTTCAGCTCCTCCTCAGCTCCAATTCCCCAGGGGCGGGAGGAGAGCACCAGTTTGAGTGACGTGCGCCCGCCAGCAGCCCAATGAGAACCAGAGAAGCAGTGAGCCCTGCCCTGGGCCACCCCGGGCCCTCCCCTGTCCGCCCCCAGCTCGGCAGTCTGCCTTCCCCAGCGCCAGCTAGGGGCACCTACCAGAGCCCGCGCCCCCGCCCCGTTCAGCACCCCGGAGAGCTCCTCCATCTCTCCACCCCGCCCGCCTTGCTCCCAGGAAAATACCCCCAGCTGTAATCTGGTCTGAAGCGCCCCAGTGATGTCATTGTTTGTGGAAATCTGTAAGGCTCTAGAAAGGGAATTACGATGTGTGCCGCTCTCTGAGGCTCCGAGGGGAGCCAGGGCCCCGGCCTCTGCCTATTTCTCTCCCCTACTTATTTCCCTGTGCACGCCCCCCCCCCCCCCTCCCCACACACACACTGCATACTAGCCTCTCCTTCTCTAAATAACAAAGCAAACATTAACCCTCCTCCTGGTACTTTGGGATAACACTTTTGCTCCCCTTCCTAGCACTGGGAGGATTGGGGAAAGCAGCCTTCTTGAGGTAACTTATGGGGGCAGGAGTGCAGGAATGAACTATTTATTTACTTACTTATTTATTTACTTTGGCAGGCTCCAGGCTGATCTGGAACTAAGCAGCTGGGAAGCCTAGCAGGAGATAAAGCTTCCCCGACTCCCCCTCTCCCCCCAGCAATTGTAATTAGAGGAGACTCCCCCTGGAGTCTTGAGCTGCTCTGCAGAGACTGCCTTCAAGAGAGCCAGGGCTGGGATGGAAATGCATGGGAAATGCATTCTCAGATTTGAGGGCATTGGTTGCCCAAGGACAGAGAGAGTGCGTTTCTGGGAGGGTGTAACCACCATTCCCAGGAACTGGGCCAAGACCCCAGTCAAGTGTCCTCCAGTTAAGCTGCCAGTTGGCTAATTCAGTCATCCTGGCAGGGGGTCAGCTAAGTTATTCAGTTAAAACACATGCACTCACACTCTACTAACTGCTTACAACCAACTTCTTCATGCCCCAGAAGAAGTAGAAATGCGATGTCTGCAACAACATGAGGGCAATTGTTTTAAAGCAATTCAAATATTGTTGAGTTACAGAGTATGTACGTTGAGATGGATGATCAGTTAGCTCCAAACTTCAAAATTCTGCCTTACTTGGATAAGAAAGAGGTAAGAGACCCTTTCCCTAGAGATTTAACACACACACACACACACACACACACACACACACACACACACATTATATTGACACATTTCACACACAGATGCACACACGTATCTGTCTGTCTGTCTGTCTAATCTATTTATCTATCTTTACAGGTTTTCTTCTTTTTATTTTAGCATAAAGGCACAACCTACTGGAAAAAACAACAACTTTACTATTGCTAAAAATGATTATACATTTAATGCTATGGGACACACTATCTTCAGAGTAGATCTCATTGTGAACATAGTTGGCTTCCTTAGAGGCCTTCCAAGCATTGCCAAATAAAAATGTAGGCATTACTGAATATTTTGATTAAAATATAAGAAATCATTGTCATCATCATTATTATTAGGTACTTGAATTAGTTTAAGAAAAGCTAAGTAAGGTGCTCAGAAAGTACTAGGATGTAGACTAAAGATGAAAGAGGCCAGAGTAGAGACAACATTTCTACAAGAGTATTGATAAAAGGGAACAGAGCTACTCTCAGTTTCTCAGTTCCTTACTGCCCAGAAGCTCATTTCTGATGAGATTTTTTTTATTACCCAATCTTACTTCACAGCCTACCCCTCACAGTACATGTTTGATTTTAACACAATATTTTCTTACACAGAGATCTTCAACTCTTCCTATTTTCCTTTTCCTTATGTTTTACCTATATTTTGAATCAAGGTACAAGGGTGGTATGAAGAACTTCCAAATAGTTTTTACTGCCCTGTATTGTCATTTTAGAAAAATGGCACCAAATGTGAAAATTACATTAGTTGGATTCACAATCATGAAGAGCTATTTAAAAAGCAGAAACAGATAGAAATCTAAGTCTTTAGAAAAATAAATCCTGAAGAGCATCAAATAAGTCAATTTAGAAGATTATGGGTGTTGTGAAATAGCACTGCTAATGCAGCTCCATCTCTCTGAAAATGAACATGAAATTACCATCTATTCAGAGATATTTATTATTTTTATGAAACCACAGAATAATACCACGTTTCCTAAATAAATTCCTAAGATGAAGTGCGAGTAAATGTTGAATCTTATGAATCTGCGTTTTAATAATTAAAACCATGTAAAAAGGAGTACAAGTTAAATAAAGCCTGGATTGGTGATTAAGCCATTTTTAGTGGTTTACACAGAAGATAGTTCATCATAATATTGTCAGAGAAGCATAGCATATAAAAATAGAATTTTTGGGATGCAAATGCTACATATCTAATGCATAACAATGTAGTGAGCATGTGAAGGAAATGTATAGATTCATTGTTATTTGAAATTCAAATACACATCCATGTGCATACACACCATTGTTTTTATTCTAAGCTCCTTCCCCCCCCCCCCGCCATTAAAGTAATTTTTTAGCAAGGTGAAAAGAAGAGAGAAGGTGGTAGAATGTTTCAAGGACTGAAATGGAATTCAGTTGACAGAAACTACTGCAGTCACTTGGTCCAAACCATTGCATCTCTCAAAGCCTCTATCTCCTTATATATTTTAAGAGGAGACAGTTTGATTAGATACCCTTCAGGTCCAAACCCCTATGATTTCAAAGACATGGGAAAGTACAAACTACAACGTAGAAAGCTATCATCAGTAGCTTGTAAAATATTGAGGGCAGTCATACTTTTAAAATAAGATATGATGGCTAACAGACATTTATTTTTACATAATCTCCCCCATAGAATTTTATATTTACGAACTTTATGAATTTGAGGGAAGAATAACTGGCTGGCAGGAGCTGGGTGGAGGGAGAAATGAGGGACATCTGTAATACTGACAATAATAATACTTTTTAAACAAAAATAACTGGCTGATGCTCAGTACCAGGCATGAAAGCCATCAGCATCTTGAGGTTCTTACTATTTAGGATACTGTTGTATCTGTAGAGAAAATATGGGTATTTGGTTTCAGTTCAGAGGTACCACATACCCTTAGAGTCTCTTTGAAGTCACTATCCTGCAAAGACCAGAAAATTCCCAGTTTATGACTTCATAACTATAAATCCACAGACTTACATGTAATTAAAAGAACCCAAACCACTTAAGGCATGTTTGGGATCGTCCCACTGAGATGTACTTCCAGAGATAACTTTTGGCCCAGGGAGCTTTAGATCAAGGGAAACCCATCACTTGAGGAGGAGGGAGAAAGCTGGAAGTAGTCCTTAGAGAGGCTGCTGGAACTTTGAGTCTTCTTTGGATCATGAGGGAAAAGATTTTATGTTTCTGTTGATTTCTTTTCAATTGGGTGAGGTGTAATCTGAAGGGAAATAAACCATGCACAACAGAAGGTATGACTTAAAATACATCCTTATTACAAATCAGTTTAGGCTTTGCCCTTTCTGTCGCATTCATTCTGAGCACTTTAAATGCAGTAATAATAAGTTCATTGGGCTCCAGAATTTTCTGCTATCATATTGTATTACTAACCCTTTCAAGTAGATTCTTCCTAATGACCCTGCCCTACCTGTCCCTTCCATCTCAGCTCAGATTCAGGCTTTCTGAAGCATCCTTTCCACTTTATGGGTTTCTGCCCAGTTTTGAACTCAACATTGATCAAGTTTTAAAAAATTTTCTCCAGATAGTTATTATTTCCCAAGATCTCACCTCATTTCCCTGTGGCATTTATATACAATTTCATATTTGCTGTAACTTAAAATTTAGGTCCTAATAAAATTTTAGTTAGTAGCTTGGTATATGCCCACTCCTAAATCATTGGGATTCACTTGGCCCTGCCTCCAATTCCTATAGCTTTTACCAACTAATAGCTTTTATCTCTGTTTTTCCTTTAGTTGCAAAGTCTTAGCTGACTTTTGTTATGTAAGCCATCTTAAATTAATATAGTGAGAGGATCATGGGGCTTTATCAAGTGTTTAATTACCATCGAGGCATTGAATCCAGAGTGCTTTGTGTTGTACTCATTTTATAACTTCATCAACAACCCATCAAATTTATTCAGATTAAGTGACTCTTTATAAACAAAAGCTACTTGTTTTTTTCTTATATTCCAGGACAATAAAAATTAATTTTTTGTAGCTAAACAATGAGGACCAGGGTTCTTTTAATCTTCTTTTGAAAATTGGGAACATATTGCTATTCATTATCTTTAGATTCCTTTTAGGTCTTCAAGAATACAAAATGTTTACTCACCTGGAAAGTTAATTACTTATTTCTCAATGCTTATTAGAACATTGCTTATTGTCTATAGAAAGTGATTACCTATTCATGAATTTTCTACTTTGCATTATTTCCCTTTACTTTTTCATGCTCTTTAAAACAAGTACAATAATTATTCAGTTCACTTTTTGAATGGTTATTAAAATTAACTTTAACAGGGAGATATTTTTGTTTTTTCTTCTCAAACTACCTACAATGTAGAAATAATTCAGAGAGAAAAAAGTACATGGCTTGTTGGCAAATATAAACTGGACTTTAGGAAGATAAA